TATTTCCTGTGGGATATTTAAGAAATCCTACAGGAAATTAAATTACTATGGGAGAATTTAATCTCCTGTAGGAATACAGTTTCCTATAGGAGAGAGAAAAAATCCCTTAGGAAAAATATATCCCATAGGATTTCTTAAATTCCTGTAGGAGTCTCTTTTTCTGTCAGAAATTCCTGTAGAAATTTTTTTTCATTTTTGAATTATTTACTTGCTCCTAAGGGAGAAAAATATCCTGTAGGAAATGTTAAATTCCTATAGGATTTCTTATTCTCCTATTTGAATTTGATTCAACTGCATTTAGCTACAGCTAAAAATCAGCAATAAACCTCATATTGTGTCAACCTGGTCCAAAGGAAGAATCACTTTGAAAAAAATATAGATGAAAACACACATTTACAGATGAATATTGAACAGTGGGACAGACAACTTTGGAATGGACATTTTTCCAAGCTTGCGAACCCTTTTCCTTTGAAGCTACATGTATGCTCTAGGATTTTTTTTAAAATGGTGGGATTTTTCTACCTATATGAATTTCTGAAATAAAAATGCAACATTTTCTGCTAGTTTTTGAGATATTTAGTGTCAGAAATAAAAACCCATGGGGAAACATGTACATAGAGGATATTCAATGTTTTGTAGTTGAATATGGAGTTTATTTCACGAGTGGGACAGGATTTTTGATATTTTCACGAGTGCGAAGCACGAGTGAAAATATCGAAAAATCCTGTCTCACGAGTGAAATAAATTCCATATTCAACTACAAAACATTAAATTTTCTGTTTATTACATTTTGTTTTTAAAATCTTTGATTTTTCTTTTGCCTTTGTCTTTTCTGTAATACATTCATGGACTCGTGACGTCATAGTTGAGCGGTTGAGACGTCATAGCTAAGTGAGGTGAAAACACTGTAAACATGAATTTGACAACATTTTTTTTGGTAATTTTGACAGTTTTTTTCGCTGTCAGGGGCGTAGCTAGACGGAAATGATGTGCACGCCAAAAAAGGCAGGGGGTCTGGGGCGAAGCCCCCGGAAGCTCCTTGGTTTTCACGTAGACTGAACAAAATTTACGGTATTTTTAAATATATAACGTATGCTACGAGATGAAGTCAACTTCGCGATATTTTGATTTATGACACCAAAAAATAATAGATCTATTAATATTTTAAAAATTTTTATGTTTTTTTTTTTTTTTTTTTTATAAAATCAAATGCATTGTCTGAATTTTTGTGATTACTTTAAAAAGATATTTTTAGTTTCATTTTTTGTCTAATTTTTAAATAATGAAAATAAAACAAAACAATTTCAATCCAGCAAATTTAATTTCCCCAAAACGTGCGGCGTCATGTTTCGTGTTTTATCGTTTAGCCTTTACCTAAAATTCTCCAAAATCCATTTTTCTGGATTTAGCAAATTGTTCCATTGCTTTTTCTATATCAATTTTAAAATCTCTGTTAGTAAGTTTACACGGAATCTTTTAGGAATTTAATTTTTTATATGACGATATAATCATTTTTTTAATAATAAATTTTATAAAAATGCACAGTAATTTTTTGGGGACTAAAAGATGTGCACGCCATGGCGTGCTGGCGTATAGGCAGCTACGCCCCTGGCTGTCAGAATGGTTTATTTATTTCCATCTATCTTATATTAGGTCAAGGAAGATATTTTTACAGCAATCTTCGTTATAAGAAAGGAAATCGAGAGTTTTCCCGCACTTTTGATATTCGTCACACTGTGACAGGATATCATTTTGATATCCTTTCACACTGTGACAGGATATCATTTTTATTCAATGAATAAATTACAGTATTTCACTGGTAAAAATGTAATAATTAAAATTACCCCATGAAAAAACCAACAAAAACCCAATGTGGTTTAAAATTCCCCCATGGGGGAAATATACCCATAAAATTCAATGTGGGGTTTTTAAACCCATATGCTGCTTATATTGTCATGTGGGATTTTTTCTCCTAAGTTTCTTTATCATGGGGTTTAAAATCCCATATATTGATATTTTTACTGGAGATAATTCTTGAAAACTTGGTTTTTTTTTCTTAAACTAATGGATCATTAGTATCTTCTCTGTTTGTCGTTCTATAAAAGTGGATAGTTATGACACATATCTATTATTTTTTCAATTTTTCAAGTATTCATTCTTTATAAATTCAAATGTATGATTATGTAAAAGAAAATTTATATGAAAACAGGTTTCTAAGGCAGCTGCCTCCTATAATGAAACATTTATTATGAAACTTTTCGCAGATTATTTGATCAATGACAATTAATCTCAATATATGTAGGGTAGTCTTTAAATACGGAAATGAAACAAGAAAATTTAATACAAACACAATATATACAAAAGAAACTAATTCACAGTGTCCAAAGAGGTTCTCTTCCTTTAACTGATGGGAAAATATCTAATTTTTATGCTTATCGTGTCTAGTTTGTGGATTTTTTAATCTCCATTCCCCTTTCATTTACCACTTATAAGACTGGATTTAATTAATTCAGGTACAATAAAGCAAAATATTAATTACATGTAGTTTAAATCATTCAGTTATATATCACAAAGGAAAACTATAAAAATCCTTTGATCCACCACAAATATTTTAAAATAAAATATTTACTCCTCTAGGATCCACCACGTGTAAGTTTAGACCATGATCACACATGACATATTAGCTTAATGTTTGAACTCAATTACCCATCATCATTAATATCCTTTGATCCACAACAAATATTTAAACAAAATATAATTAATATACACTACCCATGTATCTGCCACTTACAAGTTCAGATCTTTGTCACTCATGACATATGAGCTTAATGTTTGAACTAAATTAGCCATAATTATTAATATCCTTTGAGCCACAACAATTCAAACAAAATAAAATTAATATCCACTCCCCATGGATCTGCCACTTATAACTTTAGATCTTGATCACACATGATATATAAGCTTAATGTTTGAAATCAATTATCCATAATCTTTTGATCCACAACAAATATTTAAACAAAATATAATGAACATACACTTCCCATGGATCCACCACTTACAAGTTCATATCTTTGTCACACATGACAATTATGAGCTTAATGTTTGAACTCAATATTAGCCATAATCATTAATATCCTTTGATCCACCACAATTCAAACAAAATAGAATTAATATCCACTCCCCATGGATCCGCCACTTATAACTTTAGATCTTGATCACACATGATATATAAACTTAATGTTTGAAATCAATTACCCATCATCATTTTTATGCAAATGAGGTTCAAAAAATGGGTCAACTGAGTGGAGTGCTAACCCTAACCCTAACCCTAACCCTAACCCCTAACCCTAACCCTAACCCCTAACCCTAACCCTAACTAACCCTAACCCTAACCCTAACTAGCCCTAACTAACCCTAACCCCTAACTAACCCTAACCCCTAGCCCTAACCCTAACCCCCTAACTAACCCTAACCCCTAGCCCTAACTAACCCTAACTAACCCTAACCCCTAACCCTAACCCCCTAACCCCCTAACCCTAACCTAACCCTAACCCTAACCCTAACCTACCCTAACCCCCTAACCCTAACCCCCCCCCTAACTAACCCTAACCTATTCCCCTAAATACTGGAGTTGTTTACATTGTTTACATTGGTACGTAGGTACTACGTTTTTTTTTTATGTTTACTTGGCATGCTGACTATACAGGTAAATACTTGGCAAGCCAAGTGCGCCGTGTGCAAAAAAAATTTCAAGAATGTGATTATGACGTCACGCTTCAAATCATTATGACGTCACGCTTCACAGTCTAGCTTCATTTTTTGAAAACCTCATTACCAAGAAACAAAAGTGAAACTAACACAGATTTTAATTTTTATTCAATTTTTATTCAGAATGAAAATACATACAGACAATTTTACATTTTCTGTTTCTTCTTCTGTCTGTCCCTTATCAGTGGTCAGGGATAGTTTCCTCTTGTGAGTAGTGCTGGGGCCTGGAATCTCTCTGTTTTCTTCCTTTTTCTCTTTTTTGTCTCCTTTTTTCACTAAAGGTTTGGTCTGGTGGGTCCCTGAAATCTTGGGTTCTTGATGCTTTTTCTCCAGTTTTTGTATTTCTTTCACTAACTGGTGTGTCTTCCTTCCTTGTTGGCGAATCTTTTCCATCACTTCTTTTCTAAAATCACCTATATCATTATGAATTATCTGCATGATAAAAGCCATTTGATTTAAGATATCGCATATCGATATCATTCTCCTGTCATCTACATCTAAAAGATCCTGTGTTTCTGGTACGGTCTCCTTTGTATTTTCCTCTGTCATATTTTACCTGTGTTGAATTCAGAATGCTAACGAAGAATGATCGTCGATGTCCAGCTCTGGTTTATATACCTTTACTGTAAGTGCCGTGTGCAAAAAAAAAAATACCTTTTACCTACGTTTTCTTATATTTACCTGTTTGCATCCTCTATAAAGTGCCGTGTGCAAAAAACTGAGGGTCGTGTGCAAAAGAAATATACCTTTTACCTGTGTTTTCTTATATATACCTGTTTGCATCCTCTGTAAAGTGCCGTGTGCAAAAACTTACCTATGCATTGTGACGTCATTCACTGTATAAATACAATGTGATTATGACGTCACACTTTTTCATTTACAGTCTAGACAGCCTAGTCTAGCCAGCCTAACCAGTTTGAACTGAATTTTTTACTGAAAGACAATAACAAATAACACACAATACAAAAAAAAAACATGTGTGTGTTATGTCTGTCAAGTTATAACACCAGGTCACTTTTTTAAAAAACTTAGAATTTCTTTTTAAATTTTTTAAACTTTTTTTTTTTAAAATTAACTTATAAATTTTTTAACTTTTAACTTTTTTAAAATAACTTTAAATTTTTTTTTTTCTTATTAATTTTTTTTTTTTGGTAAACTCCCCTTATAGTTTTTAAGAAATACTACATCAGTGTTATGTTATTGTATGACTTCATCTTTTATACAGTCGGGTTCGGGGTTTCGGGCAGCCATGGAGAATTTTCGGCAAGATTTTACCCCAGTGAAAAAGGCTTGTAATCCACAGTGTAGGTCGTTTAAAGTTGTTTCACATTGTTTATGATTGTGATTATGTTATCGCTCACCTATATGTTTAATGTCAGCTATGCTAAATAACCCATTTCTGTGTAATTTGAGAGAATGTTTTGACATGTGGTTAAAGTATGGCGTGCTATTCATGTTATCATTTAAAAAGTCGATCCTAAATAAATCTGTCTTAAAAAATACATTTTACGAATGACATTTAATATGATTGATTAGAGTATAGGTATCCATATATAAGAGATATTATTTTGCATTACATTTAAACATGTTTTTCTGTCCTGTTTGTCTGTCAATTGTTGCTTTACTTCCTTTGTAAAATGAGGTTAAATTGAGTATCACTGAATATTGTATGCTTTTTTTTTTCAGGATCAGCTAAGATGTTGTTTCACTGGATTATTTAATTGGGCATATAATTGAATAATTCTGGTAAGTTTGTCTTTGTTTTGTTTACATTTCCTATGAAGGTCATCTTTGCATTTAATCATGATTATGTAAAGTTCTGTTTTGAATGTAAATACTATATTTATCCTCATTTCATGTGATTTACAGTTGTTTAGCCTGCATGTAACTCAGAGTGCATTTAATATTTCTATGATGGGTCATTCCATGATATTGAATTTAAATCAGAAAAATGTTCACTAAATTTTGGTAAAATACATGGTATCTTTTACATTTCTGTCCCTTTTGTCTGTAAATTGTTGCTTGTACTTACATTGTAAAATGAGGTTAATTGTGTATCACTGAATTGTATGATTTTTTTCAGGATCAGCTGAGATGTTATTTCACTGGATTATTTAATGGATAGACTTATTGGGCATATATTTGGATATCTCTGGTAAGTTTGTCTTGTTTTTTAGATTGTTTAAATTTCCTATGAAGGTCATCTTTGCATTTAAGCATGATTATATGGTTAATTTAATTACTGTGTAATACTTATGTGATCTGTTGTCTCTAACTTACATTCATATAAGCACACCCTTATTTAACCTAAAATATATTAACACATGATTAAGGGATCTTCAGAATATTAATAAGTCCTTTTGTATAAATTATATGATTTAATTTCATAATTCATTATGTATGTTACCCATGGCCATGGAATTCAGACTTACTAAATGGTGATCAAAGAGATATTAATTAGGAATCTAATAAGAGAAAAGGAGGAATTTACAAAAGATTAATCCTAAGTTATTTACTTTTTGTTTTGATTCTAAATATGTGGGATATATGGCATACATATATTTTCATTTTCACTTTTGTTTCTTAGTAATGAGCTTTTCAAAAAATTAAGGACTACATGTTGTACTGTGATGATGCTAAAAAAGATGTATTTTTCTGTATGCAGTACTGACAGATATTAAACAAAATTGAATCTGTTGTTAATAAAAAATCTTTTAGTGTCTAAATAATTAATTTGATAATCATTTTATTTGTGATATCAATACAGTAATTGTGCTTTTTTTTTTATTATCTAAAGATAACATGATGAACTTTTCTCATCTGGAGTTAATGTTAAAAACAATTTGTTTTGAGATTAAAAACAAACATTTTCATGAACTTTTTTGGCATTGTACATGTTTGTTCAATTTTTAAACATGCATTGTTTCACACAGTACTCTGTCATATTAACAAAATGGTTTTATTTTCTATACAGTCCTCAACCTGGAAGATATGTTTTGTTCCTAACCATCTATAATCCATTCTCTATGAAGTTCAGACTGTCTGCTCTTCCTTTGGAAATACACTGTTAATTAACCAACATAGAAACACGCAAACTTGAAGGTAAAGTTTCAATGAGATACAATTGTAATATATATTTATTTATTATTTTATTATTTTTTTTTTTACATATGCATGTTTATAATTTTGAATTGATATGTAAATGATATATTTAAATAAAAAGGGCTTGGTGGTCATGGTCATTTTTTTAGACTATATTGATCCTTTAGAAGAAGAAGAAGAGCTCCATTTCAATATATATACAAAAATGCATGATCAAATTTTGAAACTAAAATGTATGAAAGTTTTCTTTGCCAAATGATAGTTAACAGCTGAAGATAGCATATCTATAGAATAAGTTAAATATGGCTAATTTGTAACCCCCCCCCCCCACCTCCCCAGTTCCTTAATATCATAGTTGGTAAAGATAGCAAGTTTTGACTCCAATTGCTGATGAATTCTGAATTTCCCATTTAATATTAACATTATATCACAGGGAAAGAATACTATAATGTAGCACATCAGGATGACCAGAAAAGAAATCTTAATGACCCTCTTAACTATGTATAAAGACTGTAACCTTATAACTGATGTAAGATAATCTGATTGTGTGGAATTAAAATTCCCTGGTGTTTCTACTACCCAAGATCTTCTTATGAGTGCATGGGACTGTTGTAAACCTTCTCCTGTTTATAAAAAATATACCTTGGAGCATGACACTTTATTTAAAAGGTACTTTCAATATCATTTCTATGAGTTTTTGTTCTTTCTTTTTAATAATCTAGTGTTATATCTCATTTAAACCCATTAATATGTATGCTTCCAAAATCTTAGATCTGTCTGTATAGTTTTTTCAGCTCTTTGAACACAAATACCCTGATTCAATCTTTTGAGGTAAACATGATAGAGACATCATAGATGATAATCAGAGTGTATATATCACAATCCTGACCATAAGGTCAATTTAAATGGTCTAAGGCACAACAAATGAAAGTGAAAACTTTTTTTTTTCATTAGAATACATAATTTTGTAATAAACAAATACTGGAAAAGTTACTCTCATAATAAGCCTTAATGTCCTCCAAGAGTTCAGTTTGGACTTCCTCCATTAATCCTTGTATCTTCTCCAATGGTTTTGTGGGCTAAAATTCATGTGTCTTTAACAACATTTTTTTTCTGACAACTGTTTTCTCTTATCATCTATAAACTTGACTTCTTCTCTAGTCAAAGGTCTTTCAGGGTAATCCAAGTAATTCTTACCCTCTTTTGGTAATAAATGGTTATATTCCTCATTGGCTTCTTCTGCAATCAAGGGTCTTTCTATGTAATCTCTGACAACATTAGGATCACCCTTCTCTGGACTTAATTGATTATATTCTTGTTGAGAAATGATCTCAATAGTGCCATCTTTTTTTATTTTAACTGGTATACCTCTGTCTATATCTTTCTCTGAAAGAACTCTCTTTCCAAACTGAATTTTACTCATTCCTTTACTCTTTTCTTTACTGGAGGTGTTACCCATGGTTAATATGAAAAAGTCAAAATCTTATGTTACAACTTGTATTTATACCCTTTTTGTCTATATTTAGAATTCCATCAAGCTTATATTATATAACAATTTTTTTTTTTCAACTAAGACTTTTTTTTTTAATATTTTTCAGGATTCTCTAGTGAGGGCTTATGGAAATGATCTATGTCTACTCTCAGAATGGTGAAAGACTATCAGATTATGCAAAGACTAACAGAATATCCTCTCTTGGAACACTGAAACAAGAAAATCAAACAGGAGATGGATGGAGGATTTAAGAAGCACATAGATAAATATGATTTCCAACGAATTTAACCAGTATTATCATAGACTGTGGTTTACAGGATGACAAAGTAACAGGATTGTATCTTTTTACTGTCAGACACTGACTATGGATAAGATGTACCCATTTATTAAACTGAGATCTAGTCAAATCAAGTACAATTGTATTGAAAATATGATTTTCTGATAGCATGAACTCTTTAAAAATTAATTCTCACAGACCTCAAAGTATCTGAATGTGACTTTTATTTTTACCAATTTCTATTGAAGACTGTTGTTATGTATGAGAAGTATACATTTAAACCTTTTATTTTTCATCTTATTTCTATAACCCCCTAGAAATTACACAGATATTCAGATGCTGGATTTAATATTATTATTTAACTTTCCTGGAATGGTAAATATATTTTGTTTGTGTATGTATCATTTTTTAATTTTGAATTTAAAATTGGTCTCAATAAGACCCCCAATAAAGATGCAAGTGTCCCATAATCTGTGGTTTAATAATATCTTGAATATCTTTATCATATCATATTCATCATACTAATTACATATTGAATGTTTGTAGGAATACACTTTGTTGTTTAGGACACTTTGTCAAGGTCAAAGCATAAGATTATTGAGATGACTTCTTTGACAATAATTTGTAACTTACAAACTTCACATCATAAGTACACAGATGAAGAATCAATAAGATATTTCTATAGATTTTTTGGATCATTTACTCCTGGGTAAAAGTTAGTTACTAACTGAGATTACTGATTTGAATCCTGTAATGCAATAACTTAAACATTGTGTGATAACTTATAGACTTTATAAAAATTAGGTGCAAATTCTTAGGAAAGGATTGAAATGTAAATCATATGCACTATGTTCAAGGATGTTTAAAGACTATTACTATGTAATACCTTAGAATTCTGTAAAAAATTTATTATCACTGCGTAGATAAAGACTGGTTGGAATAATTTATGTTTTGAAATAAGGTTTAGGGAAAAAAGTCAAGAATGTGGATATGACTTTTATTCAAATGGTGCAGTTCAGCAACTCTGGTGATTTACATACCTTCAGTCATAAATACATGTAGATAGGTATTGGGAAGACTCCTCTAGATTTTGAAATTTTTAAATCAAAAGTATAGAATTTAAGTTTGAAAGATTAAATGGCAGCATATCATTTGCTTGTGAATTAAAAAATAAATCCAAACATATACATCTTTGGATGATAATTGTAGAATTTTATCAATTCCTGGAGTTCAGTCTTGATATCATCCTTTAATGTCCTTAAAATTTTAATGACTGTCTTTTAGTTTTAGTTGAATTAGTTTCTTTTCTAAATGTGAAAATGACATCATCCAAAGAAGTTCTTCATCTGCATGTTATATGAAGAAGACAATTTTCATCACAGTGACAGAGATTGTTTTGTTAAACATATTGCATTGATGCACAAATATACTTTTAGATTTTTAATAGCTAGAGTTCATATTTCTTAATATGGAATGCTAAGTACTGTTGATTTCAATTTTTTTTTTTTATGAACAAAGACATACTAGTAGAAAAAAAATGTACATGATGTGTTAGAAAAGCATGTGTAAACCTGATGACTTTATAATTGCTGATTAAATCAATTATGAGTTTCATCTTTGTTACATTGTAAACATTTCTAAGTAGTGCACACATCAGAAAACACTTAAAATTCTGAGTATCAGGGTTTAACACAACAATTCCAAATGATTTTTGGACGCTTTTTATGTATCAATAAAAAAGACAAAACAGAATGTTTGTTCACAGATGTTCCAATGGAAAACAACCACAAAGAAATGATTTGATATGTTCTCTATGTGATTCATGTAAAATGTATTTTAAAATTGTATCCTAACATTTATCTTTTGCATAAATACATTTTTTGTGGAGAATTTCTCATAACTTTGAAAAAAGTAGTCTTATTGTATAATATGGTTAACTTAAAATTTTGTAGACTTAAAAGTTGTACATGATGTGTTACACATCTTACATATGTAACCATTTCATTTCAGGGCATTCAGCATATATTGTGGTTTTGTCTTAAATTTGTTTGTTCATGTAATCAATAATTTGAGAATACTCAACTCAAATTAGGTAATGCATGAGAGAATAGGTAAGAAAATCAGGTTTAAGAAATGATTTTTACTATTTATAAGGGGTTAGTCTATATATTGAATCTATAAGTACATTTAGTCTATACACTTAAGGTATTTGTTTATGAAATAAACTTGCATTTGAGCATTTTAAGACAATTGTAAACATTACTTTAACCAGTTTTAAAAAATGATTAGATTCACTGTTAGCATGTAATTCCTTGTAAAATAAATGAGAAAACAAACAATTTTATTTGAGTCAGTTTTTTTTTTTTAATGTAAATAAGAAGCATTGGAAGTTGGGAATATTTCACAAAGTTGATTGAGCATAATTCTCACTAGGACAGTAGGAGTATAATGATTTAAGCATTAAAGAAACCATTTCATATTTCAATATACAAACCATGTTTAGTCAAGCAGTATATTGTTTACTCTTGCCAAAAAGTAAATGGTATCTCTATTCAGGGTCAATCCAAAGGTAAAAAAGAAATGAAAAAATATATTTCTCTTTATGTATCAAACATGTAGGTATTATTGCCATAAATTCACTGTATTCATTTTTAGTCCTCTTTCTATGTATGAATAGCTCTGATTTAGGCAATCAAAATACAAAAAGCAAATGAGTTATGTCAAATGATGAAGGTATACACCATAAATTAACATGGACAGAGAATTCTGAGTTTCCCTCAAATATGGCCGCCAAGTGATGTGAAATAAAAACAAAATGTGGATTCATCTATTAGGATTGAGACTTGTACATATTATGAATGATGGGTACTATGACATTAAGAATGACATGAAAGAAATAAGTTTGATTCAATTATATAAACAGTTCTTAATCCATACAGTCAAAATGGAGGGCATATATTTTTCTTTATAGGCATAAAGTAACAAACACTCACCCAATCCATCAAAATTTTACTTTTTGAAGAAAAGGAACCCTACTTACTTTGTTGAGTTGACATTCAAATTTTTTGTTTGACAGGTAGACTAATGGTTTCTGACTAGTATAATGAGAACTTTTTATTTAAGAGTCATCAGATTGTTCTGATATTTTGGTTAAGATATCTGCATGACATCAATTAATTTGTTCATACAAAGGGATAAAAGCTTTTCCAGGTTTCCTCTTTACTCA